ACACCAGGCTGGAGGGTATAACCAGCAACCCTATATGTCATGTAAACCCAGTGTCCAAGTCACTTTCCATTGTTCCAATTGATTCTCCATTGCTGGGGTAATATCCCTATATAACCCCATAGAGTGATAACCCCTATAACCTTTAAAATCTTAAGCCATATATATATATACACATATATATCCGTATATAACCTAAACCCAAGCCCCAAACCCTAAACACCCTATATACCCCCTATATAACCTATGTAACCATAATAACCGTATTCATCCGACTTACAACTCCTTTAAAAGGACCTAGGGTTTCCATTGTCTTTTCCACTATCCCTGTATAACTCTATATATCCCCTATGTAACTGTAGCTAGGCAAGACTATATACCCTTCCCAAAACCCTAAACCCTAAACTGTAGTTTCCACTTTCTTTTCCATTATCTGTATAACCGTATATAACTATAGCTAGGTATGAACCTAAACCCTAAATAGAGTTTCCATTTTCTTTTTCATTCCCCCTACATACCCTCTATAAGCCCCTTTTCAAGGTCCCTACATCGATAGGTTACATTATATACCCTTCCCTAAATCCTAAATCGTAAACTGTAGTTTCCATTTTCTTTTCCATTATCCCCTATATACACCCTATATACCCCTATATATATATATATATGGGACCTAAGGTTTCCATGTTCTTTTCCATTATCCCTATGTAACTCTATATAGCCCCTGTATAACTATAGCTAGGTAACACTATATACCCTTCCCTAAACCGTAAACTGTAGTTTCCATTTTCTTTTCCAGTAACCCCTATATACCTCTATATAATTCCTACATACCCTATATAATCCGTCTATAATCCCTATACAACCCATTTTCAAAAGAAAATAGCTAGGGATGAACCTCCAAAGTAGACCGGCCAACCTCAGGGCGCACTTCTGCCCCGCAGTCTTCATGGCATTGCACAGGACCTCTGGGGCCCTATTTGGGGTGTGGGGTTAGGGTTTCGGGATTTAGGGTTTGGGGGTTTAGGGTTTACGGCTTGGGTTTGGGGATAATAGGGATTCTCAACGATTCTCAACCCTGAAAGCCTGAAGGGCCCGGGGTTTTGGGCTGGATGGTAAGATGTCGAGTCGAATGTTGCAACGATCTCCTGCTTAAGGGGTTCATATTGATACCGCGGGGCTTCTCACATGCAGGATCATGCAGGGGTCTTGTTGAACGATGCGACTCGGCCAAATCCGTTCTGTTGGGGGTAGTCAGTGCACTCCGTCGCTGGCACGGACCTGTGTTCAGGCGGGTCTACAAGCAAATATAATGCTCCTCTAGGCTCAAGGATGGAAGTGTGGTTCACTAATGATTTTGAAAGCAAGTTATGAACTAAAATCATTACTTCCTTTCCTTTCGGATGACTGGTACTCAGTGCTGAGCAATCTCTCCGGTAATAACTCCTCTCAGACCGCTTATGCGCTCAATGCAGACCGTACCAAACCATACTAATCTTGGAGATAGGGCTCTTGAAGGTGTCTTACAATGATAGCTGATAAAGTCTAAGAAATGTATACAGCAATCTTGAAGGTCCGAAGCCTCCAACTGTAATCCTAGCACCGCAATTCTCTAAGCTTCAAACCTAAACCCATGCGGCTTGCCTGAAACCCTTCTGTTTGCAGTCGGTTGCCATCCAAAAGCAGGGCCTGGCCAACCAGAGGTTCGTCGAAACTCCCCCACTGACCATGGGGACATCCGGGGTTGCCGCATGGAAGCAGAAGATGGAAATAGATTCAAGTAGAATACCCTATGCTCTCCATGAGGATCAAATCATGTCTTGAATTCCTATCTCTATATAGAGTCCCTGCGCATAATTTGCGTTGCACGCCAGCATACCAGAATCAAGAGCAAAGCCTTCAAGCTCCTGTTGAACAGCAGGTTCCAACATAGTGACTAAATAAATGCTAGGGTCTCTATACATTGCTATTATATCTATATTAACGGGGTCGGGGCTAACCCAAGACATAGTGCCAAGGCGTCGGAAAACTCTAGCTAAATAGCGGAACACCAAGATAGACACTAGTCGACTTTCATCCTCAGTATGACTACTGCTAAACAGGGCCCCCCCCCATTCAAAACACCCAAATCATTCAAGTCGATCCCGCATGCCCTCTTGGGCCTGCAGACCGCCAGAGATTACCTGGCAAGGCCAATTTCAAACCAGCAACAAGGTAGTGATAAGTCATAGAACCAATCATACCAACTAACAAGAATGGCAGACAGTGACAGTAGTAGTACTAAAGTGATGCAGGGATTCCGATGATTTGCTTGCTGGTTACCTGGTCTCCAGTGACTTTGGAATGATAGGACCCGCGGGCTTGACCTTTGCAAGAGCCTTGCAAGAGGTGATGCGTGCTTGACTGTCCTAGGAAAACCTAAACGCTAAACCCCTGAACAGTCTTCAACTTGACACAAACACTAGCAGGCTGGACCCCTGACCATGCGATGGCTCAGCATTCCTCTCCTGAGCCTCCAACGCTTGCAATGGCAGGAGCACTTGCGGCAGTGAGGTTGTTGTACCTGCAACAGACTTGGCTCTGACTGAAAATTGGGGGCCATGCTTCCTGTCTTCAATGAGCCCTAAACCCTAAACCCTAAATCCTACCCCCCAGTCCTCAACATGAGGACTGGGCCTATGGTTCCACTCCGTTGTCCCGGGGGTCTTGTCAATTTACAAGAGTCTTGGAGGTGCAAGGGAGCTCAAGGCAGCAGCTCCGCCGAGTCCCAAACTACTTCTTCTAGGAACTCCAGGCTGTTTAGGTTATATCTTAGGAGGACCCCCCACCCTGTAATAGTGGTATAATAGGACTATAAGAGGACCCTGAGATAATTACCATTATCCCTTATAGTCACTATTACTGGGTGGGGGGTCCACCTAAATTATATCTCAACTCCTGTGACATGTCACCCGCAAAGTTCTCTTCTGAGGATTTCTGAGGGCCTCTACCCCAAACTCCCTGACCTGCCTGACGCCCCAGGTCCCTGCCCATACTAATCCTGAACTGGCATACCTGCCAACATGCCCACACCTGGAAAAGACCTAGCTTCGAGGATCTATCTGACAACCTGGAAGAATGTCAGCTGGGTAGCACACTAGAACAAAACGTGGGAGGCAGGAGTGAAAACCCTCTGTTTGTGATACCTTTTTGTCCGTGGAATCATACTGAGGCAGAGGAGAACAACTTCAAGTATAGATTACCCCGAATCCTTTGCCTAGAGCTGATGGAGTTAGCAAGACGTAATCTCATGCTTGCGACATCTTGCGACACCTCTGACAGTAGCCCAAATCATGCAACTAGAAAAGCACCTCTGCCAGCATCGTAGCAGCAAGTATCCAAATCCCTCTCCGTGCCCTTCCAGAATTTCGAAGCTACGAGCGACCTCAGCTACACGCAGGAAGTTCTTGAAACAGTGAAATGATTGGGAATCATGATTTTGCCGCCGTGCAGAAGCATGTAAGTACACCCCCAAAATGAGGACGGGAACCAACGACATGCGGTACCCCATACCGTGGTTGTACAAGGAATTTAGGACGATAAGATCTGGCGACTTAGGCCCCCATAGTACTGTCTAAGCAGCCCCGCAAGCCCCTACTCCCACTCAGCCCTAAAAGCTTTGAGCGCTGCACTCCTAGCTATACTAGGGACATATGGGGTTAGATTTAGACAGCTATTCTTAGGGATGCGGCCCCAACGATGGACATGGAAAAGAAACTTGAGCATGAAATGGAAGTACTACCTTGAGGGCTACATAGGTTTGAGGTACCACAGCCCTAAAAAACACTATAGAACAGACAACAGGGCAACCCCTGCATAAGCCCCTGAACTTGAAACTCCAAACACCTAACCCTTAAGTTCCCAACAGGCCTCAGGTCTACGAGTCGAACGGCGCTCCACTTGGCACTGGTCCCACCTCTGCCAACTTCCGGGCTTCAGGTTTGAGGTTTTGGGGGTTCAGGGGTTTGTGACCAAAAGCCCAAGACTGAAAGGTACGAGATGGAACATGAGCTATAGTCTAAACTCCCAGTATCCCCCTTAATACCTCCCTATAGCAGTCCCCTATATAATCCCCTACATAAACCCCTTTAAGGAGTTTAGACTGTGGCTCAAATGGGTATGGCTGAGCGAGCAGGATTGGCCAGGCTGTGGACCGCACAAGGATAGGGGTTATACAGGGACATATACGGCTTATATTTCATAGGTTATAGGGGTTATATCGTTATAGGGTTATATAGGGATATTACCCCAAGATTGAAGAATCAAATGGCAAAGAACAGGGAAATGAAATGGAAGCCTTAGGCCAGTTCAAAGGGGTATGTAAGGACAGATGGAAGCCCCAGGTCCCTTTTCAAGGGGTATGTAGGGCTATAGAAGGATAGTACCCCAACAAAGAAAAATCAAATGCAAAAGAGCATGGAAAGTGCAATCTAAACCCTAGGTCCCTAAATTCAAGGGCTACATGAGGGGACTATTAGACAAGGTTGATGGATGTTACCACAAGGATGGAGGATCAAAGGGGCAGAAAATAATGGAAAGTCGAACTAGGGGAATTGTATAGGGTCCGCAAGGCCTTCCACCCAGAAACCCCAGGCAAGGTTCGCATAATTCGACTAAAGCCTATGCCAACTGCCAACCCCGTATTACCCCCCTTTATTCATCAATCAATCCATGTAACCGCTGTCCTCTTTCCTATTCCACTCGCTATCACAAGGTCCGCCAGGCCGCTATGGCCCAATTGCGCCAACCACCTGTCCTTGGGCGGCGGGTGAGGCTTGAATGCTTGCCCCCACCTGAGTGGGTTTAGGAGTTTAGGGCTTAGGAACCCTTTTGAGTCACTTTTCCGCCAAAGTTGGGGAATCTCCTGTACGGGAGCCGCCTGCCATGCTTGGAGCTCAGTGTCCACGAGGCCCCCACGCTGAGGTTGCATTGCACCAGCCGCAAGCCCTGGATGTTCCGCCTTAGCTAGGGATTTTGGGCGCACCAGGTTTGGAGTTGTAGGCAGGGCTCGCTCAGAAAAGGCATAGCCAAGTCACAATTCTTGTTAGGGGCTTAATGCACCCTGTGTCTGGGTCCTGATTCTTCCTAGCTCAGACTCTCGGGCTATACTGCAAATTTCGGAGCATCATGTACCAACGCATGCATCTCTGCAGTTACTGGCCTTCTTCGAGTAGTCTTGTAACCTGCACAACCATGTTTACATACTGTCACAATGTGGCGGTTTCTTTGCACGTGAAGTGCTTCTGAGGGTCCTCCTTCTAACCCCTATTATCACCAAGCAGAACTACTTGTGGCTCTCCCATGCTTTTGCGCCTTGTACCATCACCAGCTATAGTATGCATTTGCGACCACTGTGTAGCCCTGTCCCCGAATTGCTGGGTGGCACACAGCTCGCGCAAGACCGTACATACCTGCCAGAAGTTTCCGCGCCCGTCTCCATCGCAGGCCAGTCTTAGGAATATGGTCGCCCTAGTAGCTGCCCTTGGCACCATGGTTTCATTCCCTGTTCTGAGTCTATCTGAGGAAGCCCAAGGTTGCCACGAAAGTAGCCCCAGAAGCGGGCGTGAAGGTGAGGGGACCCCATCGCTCTACATAAAAGATATGAACCCCGTAATCCTTTCAGAATGCTGACCTCAAGAATCCTGCATCCTGAAGTCTTGGATCTAGTTGCCTCCCCAGTACGCAGCCACAACGAAGCACCGCCCGGACATATTTGCAAAAAAATGGGCTGCTACTACACTCGCTTGGAGGATATCTAAACTGGCCTTTGGGTAGCCAGGAAGATGGAATGGATCCTTATGGTAGTCCCTATATAACCCATTATAGTAGTTTCCATTTTCTTTTCCATTCCTTCATGCCCAGCTAAACAAAGGCCATTAAAACTATCTTGCATAAAACCGACCAAGGACAACCCGTGATTCTTCAAGCGGGTCCTTGGTCTTGGCCCTGCTTCCACAGGAACCCCCCATGATAGACTATAGTATCCAGTGATATACTATAACATACTTTACGCATCCTATGATATACGATGATGAGTGCAAGCACTGTTGAGGATGCAGATGCAGCCCACAGTCAGCCCTGCCAACGCCTCCAGTTCTACGTGACGCTGTCTCTCGAAGATGAGGCCAAAGTTTTCCTGCAGGTCAAAACATGTCACGGCACGCGCTACAATTGGGAACTTTGTCAGGCAAGGGTTCCAAAATTCAAAACAACTCCCTAGGAAAATCTGATTCACTGCGCCGTAGAGAAGAGCTTCTCCTTTGCATGATGAGATGCGGGCGCCAACGAGATGTGTGTTAATGTGGGGCTGAGTCGTTTGGCAGCTTGTTTGCAACTGCGAGCCGCTCCGGCTATTATAGTTAAGTCGAAACATCTCACTTCAGAAACATTCACGAAGCCTTTCTAACACTGCCTGTATGGTTCGAGGTCAATTCTGTAATTAATTACAGCAGTTTCGGAATCAGTGTTGTACTTGGGGCTTAGACACAGGAGCTTGACTCCCGCTGACCCAGCCCAACATCAAACAACTCGCCTGGAGAAGTTGAAGCCATTGGAGCCTGCAGTGTGGAGTTCGAGACAGCCTAGAAGAAGTCGAAAGCTCTGGTTTGTCCACACTGAATGTGGTAGTTTCCCAAAATGGGGGGACCTCAATATGGAGCCCCAATTTTTTCGTCCTTGATATTGGGACCACCCAAAAGGTACCCCTAATTTTGGGAAACCCGCAGATATTGCGGAGCCAACATCTCCCACTTTGCAACTTTCATCCTTGACTTGTGCAAGCCGTTGGGACTCACGAGCGAAATCAGACGACACTTAAACCAGTTACAAGGAGATTTTTGTGATCCAGTGCTGTGTGACGATTCTACTGAGAAGAAAATGCAAGGAATTCCGCCCTGCGATGGATTGCAGGCACCCTTTTTGCATCTGAGCTCGCACACAGGGAGGCACCCTTTATGAACCCCGGATCGAAAGCATCAAAACTTTAGACCTGTAGTATGCCCAGATAGGAACTTGGGAGACACCCCTGGCTTCTCCTCTCTGCAGATACGTGGGGCTGGCACTGGCCTGCCATTGCAAAAGAGCGGCAGCCTAACTATGCCGTCAGCACGTGGTTTGAGGATTCGTGCTGCCGCAGAATGCAAACACCTAACGTGGCACTTTACCCAGCACGAGTTTCTAGTATTGCGCAAGTGCCTTTGCGTTAGGGATATCCAATTCAGGGTTTCTAGTGTTTGGGACATCTCCACCGTACCGGTACAAAGGTCTGGAGACTGCCTTTGCGCCAGAGCGTGCTTGAAAGTGCTAGAACATGCGTCTCTTGCTGCACCATTCGGGGAACAAGGGCCACGGGCTACGGGTCAAAGAGACAAGACATTCTAGCCGTTTTGGCCGAACATTTTTTGTGCTAACGCGTGCTGCAGCAAAAGCAGCTGCAACTACAAGTAGCCACTCTGCAGTGTTGCTTGTAAGGACCACGTCTCAAATCTCAAGTTCGCATGGATGCCGCATCATCATCATCATCATCATCATCATCATCATCATGCCAACCCTGAAGGATTCAGCATGGCCTGCCGCCGCGACCATTGCATTCACTACCTGGCAGCACGATGAGGCCCTAGCATCCAACAGTACTGATTCAGGCCTCTTGGTGCCAGCAGCTGCTGCTGCTGCTGCTGCTTTCAAATTGAAAAATGTCTGTGCCCAAAACCTCCCAACTTTGGGCCCAGATGGTGCGAGAGCTCTCAGAGGTCCTTTGGCTTAGCAGGGCTTTCAGAAAGGTCGAATATCTCATGCATGCCGCCAGTAGTATATACATCCCTCCCTCCTTTCTAGCAAAGTACAAACAAGCAGCCCTTAAATCAGCAACCTCAACTTCTTGAACTGATCGCCATTCTGAAGGCGTCTCCGTAAAGTCGCGGGGGCATCTACGGAGGGACCATACCCGTGGTCGTGATTGGAGGATAAGCTGGTGCTTAGTGCTAGAGATGATTGCAGAGGTAAACCACAAAACATCGGAGCAAGATAACAGCACTAAGAAGAGCCTTGATGGTCACAACAAACATGGCTCTAGAGAAGAGACGAAAGTCGCAGCGCAGGACTGATTCATGTTGAACGAGTGGACTCATCTTTCTAGAGGCATGGCAAGACCGCATACGCTTGCAAGATCGTTGACTCATTCGAAAAGACACACTTGAGCCTCTTCGCATTTGTCTCGGTGAAAATCATCTTGAACAAAATAATCCCACGGTGTAGCACAATGGGCAAACCCTCAAAGCTTCTTAGGTGCTGTTTTTATCTGCTATTTCGCATCTTACACGTTGAGGTTCATTCGAGATTCAAAATGGGGCCTCACAAGTTCTCTGCTCTCAATTTACGCCTACCTTTGAACCCCCAAGTACTTCCCACACAAACCTGCATATAAACTCCTTTGCATGAAGTCTGAGGCCAGATGTGATGGTTTCTCAAAACAAGTGGACCCCAACATAGACCCCAAAATACTATAGTCCCCATTATAGGGACCCCCAAAAATGGTACCCCTAATTTTGGGAAAGCTGCATGGAAGGCCTGGGCCATCCAAGCGCCCTCCAGGCTTTGCACTGCCGGGGGTGGCAGGCGCCTGTCTCACACAGAAATGTAATACTAACAGTAATAATAGTAGTAGCACTAATAATAGTAATAATAGTAAATTCAGGGGCACAAGGGACCTATCTCCAAGATCAGAAGCTCCACTGGTGTCTGACAGCTCCTTTGCGAGTATTTGGTTGGGGTGGGTAAACAGAGCCTCAAGCCTACATGGGGCTTTCTTAGAATGCGAGGCCTGTGAGGACCTCAGGGATACGCAGGGAAGGGAATGATCAGGGCTCCCCTTAACTAGAGGGATCAAGACCTTCGGTATTAGCTCAGCCTAGCTGGCCTCTTTGGCTGTGCTGGGAGCCTTCGCGAATGCGCTTCGCGATGTTTCTGTCGCGGTGGCCTGTCACGACTCATTGATCACTCTTCCCCGAAAGGAAAGGGCGAGGTATACTTGGAAAAGCATGGGTGGCTACAGGTGGGGATAAGGTCAACTACCAGTTGCTATGACTAATTGAAGAAATTCCTGTCTTCATTGCCTTCATCTCAGCTCTATCTTGTGCTACTAGCAATGCGCAGCGTGTGATGCCCCTGCACGGGTTTAGGATCTCTGGCCCTACCAAAAAATCACGCTTCGGAGAACACTCCCTGGAAGATGAAGACTTGTTTGCTAGTTCTGGTGAGATTGCATGAACCTCGCGTGAAGTGGGGACAGTGGTCTACCAACCGCAGAACAAGCACTTACTGCGTCCAGTGCAAGTCTACGAAAAGCACGACGTCGGCAAAATCTCTTGGAAACAAGTTCAACCCCAAAAAGGGATAAAAAGAGCATCGTCATCAACAGACATCTGTTACATCGGGTCACTTGCAGCTAGCACAGTCCACAGAAGCGTTTGCACGCCTGCTAATTCAATGGTCTCACACCATCTCTAACTAGTATTGGCTGCTGGGTGTAACCCAAGAAATCACCAACAAATTGTAGTGCTCCGTATCTTGACCGCTTCTTGACAAATGTGTTGGTTGTCAACTAGAAAGCCTGACGGACCTTCTTCTAGACATGGAGACAGGGTCAAACACACGCGGAAGTGAAGTATACCTCGAGGTCTGTCTCGACAGTCCCGCATGCACTCTTTTCTTCTGTGCTGGGTTCAGGCGCTTCGGCCTGCATGCAGTTGGGCATCAGGGTTGTCTTCTCCGGCCAAAAAAACCTAGTACCCAAAAAGTTGTAAGTCGGCAGCTGAATCTCAGCACCCAGTCAAGCATCTCCTGCTTCGGTACTCTTTAAAGATGTCCTGCTGGCCTTGAAAAGCAACCCTGTTGGGAATGCGGCCTCCAGCCCGCAGACCCAAGGCTCCAACAACAGATACCTGCGTCCCCATCCTGCTAACTGGGGGCTGAGGAAAGACAGGGGCATGCTTCCTCGAGATGCCCCTGTTTTGGCCAGCCCCCATTTTACAGGCTCCATCTACCACAGATACGCAACTATCCGCCCTTGCATGGCTTTCTGGGTTTATGTGGGCCCAGATGCAGGCAGGCCGCTAGAGTCTTCATCATTCCGGAACGTTTCATGAATGATGCCAGCAATGTCTTGAAGTAGTTACTGTAGAATATTGGGGTTATATGGGGATAATGGAAAATACAATGGAAACTACTATAGTATATTCAATATATGAGGCTATATGGATGATGCCAGGGCCAAAGCGACATGTACAAACGCACAGATGTCGGCAGTGTCGCTACTTGCTGCAGCTGGTCTGGAGACATGAATTTTGTCCCCAAGTATGGTCAAGTGACAGAGCCTTCCATTTAAGAAATCTTTGTGCAGGCTCTGATAAATGCTGCGGAGCAAATGCTCACTCGTGGTCTTAT